ATCATCTGAAAGTGGAATGAGTTTCCACGGCGTTGCTGACCTGAGTATCTATTATATATAATGAGTTGAACCATTATCATATGGCAAAATCACTAGTTACCATCTCTCCAAAGATGAACAGCAACATTTACAATGGTGCGGCCGACAATGATGTTGTGTTTCAATTATATGATGTTGAGTGTCCTAGGCTAGATTCTGCTAACAGTCTTTGTAATGTGGCCCAGGCAAATAATTGTACGAATAGGCCACCTGCAACTCACACATTTTTTGTTTGGTGTTCATTCTGATGGAGTCAGCCCTCACATTGAATATATGAGACACGAATGTTTTTTTGGGCATTGCTTCCTCACGTGGCTTGAAATTTCAGACATTGTCAAAACAGCCAGCAACACCAACATGCAAGCGCAAAGGAATGGAGTAGGTTACATTAGATTGACCATTGATGATAGAGTAAAACTACGTAGGTAAGCAAGCAGATATAGCAACAAATGGTGTAGGCTTAACTTTTTTTTGATGCAGTTAATGGAACTGTGCTATTAGGAAAATGGCAGCAAATTGATACATTGGCAGTTGGTGGAGCAGGTCAAGAAATGCAGCAAAACTACTTTGCCGTTGCTGGTGCCAGGATTGGTGACACAGCAAGTAATTCAACAATCAAAGGAACCCAACATGGAAAAAATGAACTCACTGTGGATGGTAGTAGGATTTTTGTTGGTAACATTAGTGCCGCAAGTAACATTGCTACACTAAGCCAGGACAAAACAACTTTGTGAGAGAAGAAAACAATGGAGTAAACAAGAGGTTTTAATTGCATGCTGGTGGTGCAGATCTTTTTTAGGCAATGAATTGATAGCAATGAATTGATAGAAAGCAGTAGAGCAATAGATATTACAGCAGGCAATATTCTTGTTCGAGGCACAGTGCAGCCCTTGAACCTTGCGGCATTGTAAAAAGCAATTGCTTTGACACTTGTGATAATGACCTTGTATTGACCTTGTATATTCAAGACGGATAATGAAGAGTTTCTGATATTTAGCAACGATGGAAGTATTAAAGTGCCCAGATGAACGTATTTCACTGGAGGTGATGGAGCAAGGAGAATATATGAATTGAAAACACCCTAGTTTTTGTTGAGAACTTTGGAATGCACCGCTGTCAATTGCGCCCCATCAGAATTCAGGAGCAGGTGTAGATGCCAATGTTTTGTTGGTTTGTCCTACCCGGCCCGGTCCCACCCCTTTTGCAAACAGCAGGGAACCTTTGCAAGCATGTAAAAGGAAACAAATGCGTTGCTTGTCAGTTGTTCATGCTCTCGGGTCTCCACTAACCACCTTCCCTTTCAATATTTGACTTCTGTGTTTTATTTCTATTTTGGTTCACCCATGACAATGTCTGAACCTTTGCCAACAAGGAGCATTTGCAACACCAAAAAAGTAGCCGTTTTGGGCGGGGGTAACATATAGTTAAATGTTATATATATATATACATCTATACATACACAAATATTTCACCTGGTCCTCCATGCAAACCTCAAACATCGGCCGACCCGCACCCCAACCAGCTATGCATTCTTCACATACTCAGGAGTCTCATCCCAGTCTGCCGGGTGTTCCCTCCGTGCTGAACGACCCACTGGTGGAGCAGATCTCGAGGCACCTCGAGGACTCCGAGGGCTCCCGTGATGAGTCCCGGGGCCAGCGGCCCAAGCGGAGGAGCTCGGAGCCGGTGTCGGATCCTTGGAAGCCATGGACGGATGGGGTAGACAAAACATGTTGGAGGCTTGCTAAGGGTTATCACCAAGATGGTGAGTCCAAGAATGTCCAAGGCCATAGGGACTGCGATGAGTGTCATCATGGACTGCGACGCGTCGGTCATGAGCCTCAAGGAAGTTGTTCAACCTTGGGAGAAACCTTTGGTGAAGGTTTGTCGATGTTCCAACACTTGGCATGTCCATCCAAAAAAGACAACTTCAAACAACAGCCTCATTTATCCAGTGGTTCGACAGATGTGGGCCACCCACTGCACAGCGCCACAGCCATGCTGAGGATGATGATGACCTAGAAGCCTTGCTCAAAGGACTAGACGATGAGCCGAGCCCTGCAGCACCTGCAGCTACCGCGACACCCGCCGTGGACTCGCCACCTGCAGGGCGGCAAGCGCGTGGGGGGCCTGGCCTTACGCGCGAAGACAGCCACAAAGTGGCTGTGGCAAAGGAAGCCTCCGAGAGCTGCACCAGCTGTGGCAAATGCTTTGAGGTGCCCCAAGAAGGGGAATGGGGGTGCCGAAGGTGGGCTTCATCCAAAGCACTTAGAGTTATCGTTAGAATAATATGCACATGTGTTCAGACACACACCAAAACTGGACAATTGGTTCATACTCGAGCCAACATACTCAAAATTTAAAACACATTGGTTGGGAACATGTCCCTTCCAAAGAACACTTATTATATGGTTCATGGTGTTGCATCAGGTTCCCTGTGAGTTTTCCTTGTTTTTGCTGGTGAGACACATCGGCCATCCTGTTTCTAGTCTTCATCCTGTGCGATCAATGTCGTGGGTGGACGTTCAGTGCGTGAGGCTGGCCAGAACATCTATGAAAGTTCTTTGAGTGGGAAGCGGGAGACCCTGTGCAGTGGCTCGGTAAGAGCATCGCTTGGGTTGGGCTGTAAGGATTCTGCACACTGCATGCCATGTGTTTGTGGACGGTAAAAGCTAACTTCACGAAACCTGCGAAAACTCGGCAGTAGTGATGCCTGCGAAAGTGCTTGTGACCGCCAGTTCCAGAGAGCAGCCGGTCCAGCTTTTGGGAGGCACAATCATGCAACAGTTTGTTTGCGCATTTGGTCTCACAGACTGAAAGCGCACCACGGGTGTCCTGGACAGTGCGTAGTCGTTACGTCCTTGTTTCACAAAAGAATTGTTTGGGGCAAAGCAGGTTTGTATTCCATTCAAAGCTGGGGCCGTTGGCTCAATCGAAAGCAGAAAATGTCCAGATGTCGCTCATGCTGCACGAAGAAAGGGATTGTCGCACATGCTTCGCGTTGGTCAAGCCCCAAGCCATGTCACCCAAAATTGCTGCAGTCCATTAATGCCAATTGGTGCGGTTTGGTCGCAGTAGAAAGATGTAGAACATCTTGCACCAAGATGGATGAACTTATTGGCCTTGATTGGCCTTATATACATTCTGTGAAGAATTGTGTAGCATGCACCCAAGTGCTTGCAAAATGCATCAAAATGCAACATCTCCACTCGTAGTTAGAACTGAGGGAATGGATCCAGGCAGCGAATGTTTGAGTTAGGTTTGTGGAATCACAAGTCCTACTGAGTAGGTGCGGGGGCGCTGGATTCGCTGGATGCTGAGTGAATTAAGCCAAATAGCGAGTCATCCGAGTAGCGAGCTTTGGCCACCGAGGCACCTGTTGGGCAAAGGTGGCGCCTCATTGTGTCGTTTGCGGGGAGGTGATTAGTGGGACGATGGCCAAGGTGGGCGAGGACGCCTACCATCAAAACTGCTTGAAATGTCACTAGGCCTGCAGAAGAATCAGGACCACCTCAATATGTGCCTCAATCCACTTCAGACCGCTTCAGAATGTTCAGAGGCCTTCAGTTTTATTAAGGGGAGCTTGCTGGGCTTTTGATGAAGCAAGCTGAGCAGTTGCTGGGTGAGATGATCAACAGTGAGACTTTTGCCTGGGTGCTTCGCTAGGAGGGGAGACTTCTTTGATTACACGACGCAATATTAGGCCATGTGCAGACTCAGAGTGCCACACGCCCGTCAGATTCCTTCCGGCCCTTTCGTTTTCAGGGATCGGTTTCACGTCGCCCGACGAGGCACACAATGCCACAAGCCCATTGAGGGACGACTCAGCAAAATGGAATGTGGTTTAGCCTGCGGTGCTTGCGCGGACGAGATTGATCGTGAAATTCAGGAGCCATAAGTGATGCAAATAGGAACAACAGGAAGAAAGGAATGGATATTATAATATTTACAAGCAGGGGAGCGAGGGAGCAAGGGAGGGAGGGAGAGGAGAGGAGAGAAGGTTGAACATATACAAGACCTTTGCCAATTCAATCCTCACGAGATCAAATCTGGAGTGTTGCTAAATCTGAACATGCACTCCACCCAATTCCAGTCTTAGGAGCTTCAGTCTTTGCTGGCCCAACATGACGAGACCGGGGCCGCACTCCTGATTGGTGCGCTCAAGGCGGAGAAATTGCCGGCTTCGGTGAGTTTGCAGAATATCCCTCACGTGGGGTGTTTTGTTTGTGTGGCTCCCCAACCGGCATCAGGATCATAAAGAAAACAATGCAGACTATATAGGTCCCTTGGTCCCTGGGTCCCCTCTGGCACCCCCTCCCGCTTTTTTTAATAGTTCCCATTGCCTTCCACTACCCCTGTACCTCTATCACTCCGACCGCCCCACCCCACTACGAGTCTTACCACAGTTACCACAACTACTATCTTCTTTGCGTTGGCGCTGCCACAAAGGTGGATGATAAGGCCCACATTCGCTTTCGCCTAGCTTGACAGCCAGAACCACCCCTTAGTAGGAAGCGCTGTGCCCTACCCCTACGACTTCCACTACTACTACTACTACTACT